CTAGACAAGAATCCACAGCTGGCCCGCTACTTTGTTGCATGTACTGGTCCAATGCGCTCCGTAGATCCGACTTGTACTGTGTCAGTAGCCGCACCAAGCCATCGGAAAATTCCTCTCGTGATCTTTCAGCCAGTTCTGCAGCCATGGCTTCGAGGTTCTGCGGGAGAACATGCTCAAGGACCTTAGTGCAGATGTCTGTTGACAGCTTGGTGTTGCGCTCTAAACTCTCCACAAAATCACTCTTCATCTGTGCTTCCCAACTAACTAAATTGTCCATGAACAAAGTCTTTCGTAGCCTCTCTGGGAGCTTTGAACGCACTTCACGAAGATGCGCCATAGCTGCCTGAACACCACGAACATGAGCGACAAACAGAGCTCGCTCGCTGAGAGTCTTTTCACCATCCTTATCCTTCGTCACCGCTTGCATCTCCTTCGTATAACTCTGTCTGGCGACTTCAATTGCCTCTGTGACCTCCTGCTCCAAGAGTGTGTATGACGCCTTCTGCATCGTTGGAAGCTGCCCGGTATTGATTGCATCCACGTACGCGTCCAGCACGGCTACAAATTGTTCTGAGCGCAACTCGTGGCCCATCAATTGCTTCGCCGGTAGCTTTTGGGCTTTATCTGACAAATAGTCCGCGTATAACTCGTCAACAGCCTCGACAAACTGCGTGCGCAGCTCACTGCGTGGCGTCTCGGGAGGCACAACTTCCGTCCCATTGCCCTCCACTGCACGACTCAGCGCCACGCAATCTCTCACTGGAAAGTACGACTCCAGGTACATACGCAACATGTTTCTCTTGGTTGCGGCGTCTCCGTAGCCTCCTTCGGGGGCCAAACCCTGCTCGAAATACTGCGTGGGTGTCAACTTCTGTCCCTGTGCATCTTTGAGCCACTTGATCTTGAAATTCCTGGCCAACCAGATGAATTTGGGCGCATGTTCATGAAATTCACTAGCTGTAGTCACAAGAACATCAATATAGTCAGCTGTTAGCGTCTCCATAAGGTGATTTCGCTGTGGATCTCCTCACCCACAGCCTCTTCGTCCTGCATAGCTTTGATTCTTAGCACTTGGGCCACCTTCTCGACCCACTGCAGCCTTTCTACAGCCTCCGCGTTGATTTCTCCATTTACGTTGTACAGTAGGGCGGACGAGAGCAGCAAGAGCAACGCCAGCTTCTGGTTCTCGGTTTGTTGTCCGTTCTCAGTCTCTAGCGCAGCTCCAGCAGCCAGAACGATGCGAGTTTTGTCTCCGGTCTTTGTATTTTCGTCTTGAGGCAGCCACAGCCACAGCAACACGTTCTTTTCGTTCTCGGGCGTAGCAGAAAAGTCCACCTCTTGGGGCTGTAGCAACGTGTGGAGAAGCAGCCGTTTACCACTCGCTGGAGGGCCGAATACGCCCATAATACTCATTTTTGAGGCATGAATCGAAAGCAGAGCATCTCGCGCATCCGGTGAGACCTGCAGTGTCGCGCCATCGCCGCTATAAGTCGAGAAAACCAGCGGCAAAGCTCGCCATTGTCCCGCCATAGAGCTTTTTCTACTTGCCTTTTCCAAAAGCTGATTTTGATTGGCTAAATGGGTACCTGAAATAGGGAACAATACACAAAACGAGCTGAGTTGTCCATTTTCATTTCCTACCCATTTTTGCCGATCCATTACCCATTTTGCCACGTACGATGGTAGAGCTTTCTTGGTGGCAGGCGCCGTACTTCACGGAGCCCGGATGGAGGCCCAGCGCCAGCCCCGTGCCCTATTTCCTAGGCGCTCTGGTCTTTATGACCGTTGTCTATCTGTTTGAGACGTATCTGGACATCCGTCAGCACCGTAAGTTGCATGACAAGCGGTTCCCGAAGCCATTGGCGGAGGCGATCGAGGGTCTCGGCAGCTACCGCATGAAGAAGGACGAGAAGGAATCAGAAGATGATAAGAAAGAGGAATCGGAAACGCAGGAGGAGGAGGAGACGACGCTGCTGGCTGCGATCCAAGCCAAATTCGACAAAAGTCGCGCCTACGGACTGGACAAGAGCACGTTCGGCTTTGTGCACGGCGTCTACAACCAGTTGGAGGCCTCAGCTTTCTTGCTGCTGGGCTATCTGCCCTTCATGTGGACCATGAGCGGCAAGGCACTGCTGTCTTTGGGCCTGGACGCCGACAATGAGATCTACCGAGCGCTAATGCTACTGACACTCACGACCATCCGGGACACGCTCGTGGGCATCCCCTTCGGACTTTACTCGACATTTGTGGTAGAAGCTCGTCACGGCTTTAATAAGCAGACACTGGGACTGTTCTTCATGGACAAGATCAAGAGCTTCGGGCTGTTTATTGTCATCGGATTCCCCGTCACAGCTGCGTTGATCTACGTCATCCGATGGGGAGGGGAGTACTTCTACATGTACGTCTGGGCGTTCCTCTTTGTCTTCTCCGTCGTCATGATGACGCTCTATCCAGTGCTCATCATGCCGCTGTTCAACAAGTTCACGCCACTAGAAGAGGGCGAGCTCCGTACGCGCATCGAAGCGCTGGCTGCGAGCCTCAACTTCCCGCTGACCAAGCTCTTCGTCACGGACGGCTCCAAGCGCTCCAGTCACAGCAATGCCTATTTCTTCGGACTGTTTAAGAGCAAGCGCATTGTATTGTTCGATACGCTATTGGAGCAGGCGACGCACGACGAGATCGTTGCTATACTGGGCCACGAACTTGGACACTGGAAGCTCTGGCACACTGCGCAGGGCTTTGTGATCCAGCAAGTGTACATCTTGGCTTCCTTCTACGTGTTCGGACTCTGCATGAATGATGCTGAGCTGTTCGCAAGCTTCGGATTCGCAGGAGACTCGTCCAAGCCTGTGATCATCGGCTTCCTACTCTTTTCGCAGACCATGTGGGCTCCAGTGGAGCACGTACTGTCCTTCTTGATCACATTGAACACTCGTAAAAACGAGTTCCAAGCAGATGCGTTTGCGGTGGACCTTGGCCATGACGTCGCGCTCAAATCCGGACTCACTAAGCTTGCGATCGAGAACCTGTCCAACATGAACCCGGACGTGCTGTACAGTGCCTACCACTACAGCCACCCGCCCCTCGTTGAGCGCCTGAACGCCATCACGGCACGTGCCAAGAAGTCGCAGTAAGGAGCGAACAACAACCTGTGAGCTTTGTAACTTGGAACATGATTCTTGCAGCTCTGTTTTCAACTACCTGCACACTCCGGATATGTTGTACTGGAAGGTTAACATACGCACTAATGTATTTTACGTCCAACTACTGTAAACAACACTACACAGCGCCGTGGACTCTCCTGACAAGCAGTTTTTGTCTGCGTATACCGAGGAACAACAGAAGAGGAAGGCCGAAGTCTAAGCACACGCATCCGCACGCTTCATGCGTGTTTGGTTTGTGCTTGTTAGTAAGGACTCCTTGCGAGCACGACGTAGCGCATCCGAGTCTGGCTGGGGTTGTAGATGATATACTCGCTGTGATGCAGTCCCGTTCGCTCCTCCGGCTGAACTGGTTTCCCTACGGGCCAAATGGCTCCGTGAACATCCGCAACTTCTCCCGCTGAGTCTGGGCGACACGACCCAACGCCCTTACAGCTGTGGTAGTAGGCTCCCTTAGCACGCCCACCAGCTCCTGTGTGTACAAACTGCTTGGCATTGTCATCCGAATTGAGCATCTCCTTGCTCTCACCTAACGCCACTTCACTCAACGCGAACACACACTGATTGTGGCCGTTCGTAGGTCTGCAGTGGCAATACGCCTGCGCTTTCGTCACCTTATCCGTGAAGTACAATCCTTTACCAAACGTCCGTCCATTCGACGCGACCTCGGGTGGTGCGATGCGCAGCCCTTCCGACAAGATGCCCAGCCAGTTTGCCAAGTGGCTGCCATGCCAGAGAATCTATGGCAACGGAGCAAACCGCGCAGAAGCGGTTAGCGTCCACAGGCTTGATAAAACATAGAAAAAAAAAACAACACAGTACAAAACAACTCAACGCCTTACCCGTCGGTTGGTAAATGTGCGGAAAGGCTCAAAGCGTGTCTCCTGCTCGGGCTTCTCAACACGAAAGACCGACAGCAACTGCAATCGGTCTTGCTTCCGCCCGCAGCAATTAGAGTTGCGGATATACGTCTGAATTAGCGCAAAATCGGGATCCGAGCTCTTCACAGGTTGGAGCTCGCACTCTAACAAATCGTAACACTCATCCAAGTAGTTTCTCGACGCACACCGCCGTGCCACAGGCTCGTGAGCCATTCCACGGACACTAGCTCCAACTTCAGCCATCAGCTGGACCTTCTTGCCTAGTTTTACCATCGTATCAATGACTTCCAGACGCGAGTGATGCGGAATCAGTGAGTAGAAGTGGCTGCTAAGGTTCGATAGCCGCGCTCGGGACGTCTGTCGAGTGCGTAGCGCTTCATAAATCTCCTCCAGCGTCTCGTATCCCTGTCAATAATGCAGCATTCACATTAGCATAATCTGTATCACACAAGTTACCACTTCAACTTCAACATACCCGTTTAATGGTCGTCTTGGACAGACGCCCGAGCGGCAGCTTCATGATAGCATCCCCCAATAGCTCGTCAGTGACTGTATAAGCATACGACAGCTCTGTGTGGTCAGCAACGAGCGTCAAAAAGTCCTGCACCTCGGTAGGCAATCGCGATGGCGGCGCAGTGGCACATGCACACGTGGAAGTCTCGGTAGAAGCACCGGCAGTGTCTCCATCTGAACCTGCATACAGCCAGTCGAACTGGTTGCTCAATGATCGCCGTACGCTCGTGCTGGACGTTGCAGTTGTCGAAGTTGAAGTCGCAGTGGAGTACGTCGTCCACATGCCAGCTCGACGTCGCTTACGAGTGCTAGATGTAGCCATCGGGAGTGGCGGAGACGTCGTCGGCACCAGATCAAAGTCTCGGAAACTGTCTGCATTGTCCATTTCTCCTTGGTTGTCCGCCAATGCCGACGTCAGCGACTCGGAATAAGGCGTTCCAGTTGAATAGTCCAGCTCAATCCACGTGTAGCTGCCTTCTTGGTACCGCAGTGCGTGACGCTCCTCCCATTCGCAGTTGGTATTGGACGCGAACAAGGTGCAGAACTCGAGTGTGACCTTCTCAGCGCTCGGGAATGGGCCTGTGAGTGTAGTTTTGCCTGCACATCCGACACGTCCAGCTCTGGTCCAGAGGTAGAACTGCTTGTCGAACTCGAGTGCCTGCAACGCGATGAACTCGCTGTGATTGTTGTGGACACGCGCCTGTAGTGTACAGACACAATACGTAAGTCTCTTGTTCAACTTTCTAAGCTAGAAATCAGCCTCGTACTCGAGTGAGCATGGCGTCGTAGAAGCTCCCTGCGTGTTGTAACACAGTGGCTCGACGTTGATAGGACTCGGGCAGATACGGGTCGGGTTTGATGAGCAGCAGCTTTTCGTCGTCGTCCTCTGTCTCGGTGTCGCTGATGAGGTTGCAGCAGTTGGTCCTACTGCAATCATTCTCGTCTTCATCTGTGTCGTCGTCAGGCAACTGGAGCTTGACAGCTTTGGCGCTGCGTCGCGACGTGACGCGCTTCTTGAGTGGAGGCGACAGCACAGGCAGCTGCGTCACGCTGAGCTGCGAGCGCGTGCTGGCAGCTACGCCCGAGCGTGATGTATGCACGCGCGGCAAGTTGAAGCGGCGTGAGCGACTGGGCGTCGCCGGAGAAGGGTACGGGAAGGGCGAGGAGCTCATCGCGGCGGCGGCAGGCGACGCCTTTTTGGTGGAAGCCGTGGACGCGCGACGCTTCTTGGCCATCGTGGCGATCCGTCGCTTGTGTCTGCGGCTCCGGCGGCTGGAACTGAACTGGGGCTGCGGCTTCCTCCCTTCTTCGGCTCTGGCGGGTCTGTCTGTGCTCGGTTTCTTGGGTCGGGTCGGTGTCATTTTAGCTTGAAGTTTGTATGCACTGATTCGTACACGATGCCTGTGATACTGGTTACCGGTTTTGCCGTGTTCTCGGTGCCGTGAAGCGACGGAAAGCGAGAAAAAGATGGGCCCACGGTCGTTGCAGCAGGTGTCATTGCCAGCATATTCGCGCATTAGGTTTCTCTAGTCATGCATGGCGTTGCTAGAGCTAATTGCCATAGCATATCGCTCTTCAGTGGTCAATCACTTTGACAAGCATAATTGGTTTTTGAGCGGCCGCGCCGTGCTGGATCGATTTCGGTTCGATCCGACGGCGGAAATAATTTTGGCGCTACACCGAGTTAGTGTAACAAGACTGCAGCTGGAAGAGTGAATACTAGTGCGGCATTGAGTGGAAAACATGTCGAGTCGATAAATTCAAGTACCAGACGGCAACTTGCCTTTCAACGTTGTGATCACCTCCGTGAGGATGGTTGTCATCAAGTTGAAGGCAAGCTCAGATCTGATAACGGTCCCTACTTTCACACACCGTTATTGGTCAAAACTGAGTTTTTGAATTACGTCACAGTATCGAGGGATCATAGCGACCATTGTAACAACATTTAACGACATGGCGGCGGTGGGCGCCGTTGTGGACGCCGTCTTCGGCTCGTACGACGTCAAGAACGCCAAGCAATGGCGTGACGAGGACCTGCTACACCGCGAGCAGGAAAAGCAGTGGCGCGAGGACTCTATACAGCGCGAATATGAATGGCGGCGCGCCGATCTGGAGCGAGAGCGACGGGTGGTAAAGCTCGAGAACGAGAAGCGCATTATCGACGCGCGGCATCGACAGCTCGTGACCGTCTCGCAGATGTCAGCGCTGCTCGCAGGCTTTACAATGTCTACGATCGTGGAGGTGCAGATAGCGGACGCCACAAGCCAGCCAGTTATGATCCTGTACGGCGCCGTGTGCTGCTTAGAGGTGAGGAACCAGGACGAGCGGAATGTGGCGAGGCAGTTTGCTTTTCTGAAATTGCCACAGTACATAGACTGATGCAGCTGTTGTTGTCACTGTTGGTGCTGCAGTTTATATGCATGTTGATGTGCATGCTGACGTGCATGGCGCTGCTGCTGGCACTCACGCGGTTCGTGACGCATACGCTAGAGGGCGAGGTACACGCGCTATCATCGTTAGAACTGGACGTGGTTTCACCTTTCTACGGCTGGTGGCTCAGCAAATGCGAACGCGAATGGATCATGGCTTACCGTCTCTTCCGAAGTGGGCTGTCATTATTCCTCACGCAGGTGGCACTACTAGGCTGGGCAGTCTTTGGCGAATGGGTAGCAGCCGCATCCTGTATGACGGCGCTCTGTGTGCTCGCGCTCGCGTACTTGGAGCTGCGCGTTGCCAGTCGATGGAGATATCTCTGGAGGTTTCCGGAGTCACACGCACCCGGATCACCCACAGCTACAGCAAGGAGGTCAACAGTCGAAGCGCCGCCATTAACTCCATAGACAAAGCACCATACATTGTCAAGCTGTTCATTGTTTTCGCTCGAGCAATCAATGAGTCCCGTCTCTCCCCATTCTGGAGCTTTTTCTTGTGGCTCCACGTATTTGCGCATACATGCCAAGCAGCAGTTATGCATTCTCACAGGTATATTTCTATGCATTTTTGTTTACCATCCATATAAACTATGAAGAATACACAACGTCAGTCAATCCTGCTTCAGCCGCCGCGCCCAATCATTACGCGAAAAGCTCCAAGGAGCAGAGGACAAGTGGTGACGATGGCAGACAAGTTCGTGGTGCACAAATTCGGCGGCACGTCCGTGGGCAGCGCCGACTGCTTCGCCAAGGTGGCGGACATCGTGTCGGGTAATGAGGCCCCGCGCATGGCTGTGGTGGTGTCGGCCATCGGTGGCAAACCCAAGGTCACGGACCTGCTTATCTCGCTGCTCGAACTGGCCAAGCAGCGCCGCACGGCCGAATGCGACGAAATCCTGGCCACGCTCCGTAAGAAACACCACGACGTGGTGAGCACACTTCTTCCTGCTGAGGTGGGTGAGCCCATCGAAAAGGCCATCGAGCGCGACCTTCAGTCCGTCTCGGAGCTGCTGCGCTCCATCTCCATCATGCAGGCGTACAACGAGAACGTGGTGGAGTTCATCTCAGGTCACGGTGAGATCTGGTCGGCCAAGATCCTCACAGCTGTACTAAGCCAGAAGATGCAGGACGACGGCAAAAAACACCGTTTCCAGTTCGTGGATGCCCGCGACTTCCTGACAGTCGAGCCGGACAACGAGCACGGTCCGGTGGTGCAGTACGATCTGTCAGAACAGAAGCTTAATGCGATCCTGAAGAACGGAGAGGGCGATGAGCTCACGCACGTGGTCATCACTGGTTTTATCTGCAGCACCGTCGAGGGCGTCATGACCACACTCAAGCGTGACGGTAGCGACTTCACAGCCTCGATCTGTGGTCGTGTGCTACACGCCAGCAGCGTCACGATTTGGACGGATGTGAGCGGTGTATTAAGCGCTGACCCACGACGTGTGCCAGAGTCTCAGATTCTGCCCGAGATCTCGTACCAGGAGGCCATGGAGCTTGCGTACTTCGGTGCCAAGGTCATCCACCCGAAGACTATGGCGCCTGCCATCGTGGAGGACATTCCTATCTACATCCGAAATACATTTGAGCCTGAACACCCGGGCACGAAGATCTCAGACCGCAAGAAGGTGGAGCTCAAGCGCACCATGTCGAACGGAACTCCCACAGCTCGCAACATTGTGAGCGGATTCTCCACTGTAGATGACTTGGCACTGTTTAACATTGAAGGCAGTGGCATGGTCGGTGTGCACGGCACGTCTTCACGGCTATTCAGCGCGCTGGACCGCGTCAAGGTGAACGTTGTGCTCATTGCGCAGGCCAGTTCGGAGCACTCGATCTGCTTCGCTGTGCCCATGGACTGCGCCGAAGTCGCCAAGGAGGTGATTAACGAGACTTTCTTCAAGGAGATCCACGTCGGACACATCGACAAGACCGAGTACATTGCGCCTATCAGTATCATTGCTGCTGTAGGTGATCAGATGAACCAGACTCCCGGTGTCTGCGCCCGTTTCTTCGGTGCTCTAGGCCGTGCAAAGATCAACGTGTTGGCTATCTCACAGGGATCCTCGGAGCGTAATATCTCGGCTGTGGTACACTACAAGGACTCGGCCGCTGCGCTGCGTGCTGTACACTCGTCGTTCTTCCTGTCGGACCAGACCCTTTCCATCGGTCTAATGGGTCTCGAGTTCGATGAAGACGAGACCAACAGCATCGGTGTGGCTCTACTGAAGCAGTACCATCAGCAACGCGAGTACCTGAAGCAGCGCTTCAACGTGGACATCCGTGTGCGTGCTATCGGCACACACATCACCTCGCAGATGCTGCTGGACGTCGACGGTGACATCACCGAAGAAGCCTTGGCAGCCCGGCAGGACGAATTCGTGCCGTTCGACCGGAACAAGTTCCTAGATCACGTCTGCGCAGACCATTTGCCACACTGGCTCATCGTTGACGTTTCCAACAGCTCACATCACGTCAAGGACTTGTACCCGCAGTGGCTGGCGCGCAAGGTGCACGTCATGACGTCGAACATTAACGTGTCGTCGGCCTCGACGGAGCAGCACAACGCCATGCAGGAGATGGCGATTCAGAACGAACTAACGTACGATCCGGAGGCAACGCTGGCTATTGGTGTGCCCATTTTCAACACCATCCAAAACTTCATCCAGACAGGCGACGATATCCAGCGGGTGGAATACTCGGGAAGCCGCTTCTTGCACGCTGTTTTCGACGCTGTGTTCGCACTACCGGAGCCGGCGGAGGCTGATCTTGGAGCTATTATGAAGGACCTTATGGATCAGTACAAGAACGAGTTCAGCGTGCGTGATATCGTGGACGACGTCATGGGCGTACGTAGTGCCAAGAAGGCCATTATGATCGCTCGCGAGATGGGCTACGACATCGAGATGAAGGACGCCAACATTGAGAGTCCCTGGGATCCCAGCGCCACGGTTGCTGGCAGTCAGGACGAGGTCGGAGCCTGGAGCTACGATTATCTATTGGAGCACCTCGTGAAGGCCAGCGAGCCGTTGAAGCAGCAGATCGCCAAGACTGTAGCAGACCCGAAACAGGCACTGCAGCTGCGTCAAATGTCATACATCGACGCTGCCACGGGCAAGATCTCGGTGCGGGTGGAGGCTCTGCCGCCGACCCACTCCTTCGCATCGCTCAAGTGCCGTCAGGGTGGCTTTGCCTTCTACACGCTGCGGCATTCGCTACACCCCGTGGTGGTCACGGGTCCCATCGCAGACTGCTCGATCACGGCGGGATCTCTTTTTGGTAGCACACTGTTCCTGGCGAGAAATTGCGGTGCACGCGCCCACAACTGCGACCACAGATGCCAGATCAACAACAAGAAGTAAGCGAGAGCCTCGAACTCTTGTGCACGTGAGCGTTAGTACATAGAGAACCCATAAACGACGTCAACAAGTGCCATGTTCATCAAACTGGGTCTTCTTTGTTTCCTCGATAAATATTTGGATCAGCGGCTACGGCAACGGGACACTCATGCGTCTGCTGCTTGATGGTTTGACGAGATATCTCCACCGACTGGCGATCCGCAGGTTGTAGTACAGCAGACCGCACACGCAGAGTACTGAGACCACAACGGACGCGACTGTGGATCTGACGAACACGATCCAGCTGACCAAGCCGACGGCCACCAAGAAGAAGGACGCGCCTGTCCTGAACAATTGATACGCGAGTAGCCACTCCTGCTCGCACTTGATCGTCCACCAGTCGGTAAATGGCGAGACCGTGTCCAGCTCCCGATCCGAGAGTTGCCGCACCTCCCCATCCAGCGTGTGGGTCACGAATCTCGTGAGCGCCAATAGCAGCAACGTGCATGTCAAAGTGCACAGCAGCATACACAGGAACTCGAGCACGCCAACAGTTCCGTAAATGATGAGCAATGGCTGGCTTGTGTCGCTCTGCAGCGACTTGATCTCCTGGATGAACATGATGGAGAAGAAGGCCATCATGGCCGACAGCTGCGATACAGTCTGCAGTTGCTGGTGACGCGCGTCGATCAGCCGCTTCTCCGACTCAAGTTTGGCCACGCGCCGCTCGCGTTCCAGATCGGCACGCCGCCACTCGGTCTCACGACGGATGGCGTCCTCGCGCCACTGTTTCTGCTGCTCACGGTACAACAGGTCCTCATCGCGCCACTGCTTGGTGTTCTTGACGTCGTACGAGCCGAAGACAGCGTCCACGACCGCCGACATTGCGGCGGCCGACTATTGTTGAAAGTGTCTACTAGAAACTACCAAATATCATGACATAATGACAACATAACTTTTAAGCCGATTTATTTTAATGAAAATAAATATCATTTAGCTTTCAAATAGCCGGTTTTATCATCGGTAAAAACTTTTAAGACGATTTAACTGCCAAAATACGGTTTTAACAAGCTGTAATTTGCCTCGACGACTTTCACTGCTCGTGTGTACTGACACCCGATGCATCACTCTACGACAACGAGAGCGGCCACGAAGTGCTACATGTAATGCGGACGACGGCGTTACTTCATGGGAGCTGTTCGTTGGTTCAGTTTGCGACCAGTCGATCGCTGCTTCAGCTTTGACGGTGAAGTTAATTGAGTCAAGTGAGATTCATCACTAGTAGAACCAATGGAAACGAAGACAAAACGAGTTGTCCAGCTTGGCATCGGTGGCTGCACGGTGCAGTCGGCGAAACAGTTCGTTCTGGATATGATGTTTGAAGTCGCATAGCTCCGTTTCAGTCGTGCCAGGCGCATCCCTGAGTTGCGATCCGAGGCGAGGCGAAAAAAATCAACCTGCACTTGCTCAGCGAATGCATGGCACGCGGCTAGCAGCGCCGAAAGAATCGAAGCGTCTGAACCCATTTGCTTCACCAAGAAGTACTACTTCTGAAGTAGTGGCCGGTATCAAGTGCGTTCTGCAGCGGGATCACTTGATATCGCACTGCAACTGAACCCAGTCACGTTCGTAATACTTGAACGACTTGAATCTCGTCGGATACTTCACTGAAGAAGGCGAACGCAATGCCCACCGAAGCCAAAAGCTGTGGTCGAAAGGAGGTCGAGCATCATTCGAGCCTGGGACAAGCTCTAGAATCTCACATCTAACTTTTTGCTGTTTGCTCTCCTGCTATCCGCTCAGCTTTGCCCTGCATCAACGTTTGTGCAGCAACTGAACAAACATGCTCCCTGCGATCTCGGGCTTTGGTTTGCGCCACGTCACAACGATGACAACAACAATCTCATCAACAACGAATTCGACGCTGGATACAACCGTTTCGGCACTGGACTGTACTACATACATTTTGTAGCAGTAAATGCGTCCGCTGATCAGTCCCAGCGTCCCGGATATATGAGCGCACGGTGCTGCTCTATGGTGTGATTTTGTTATGATAAAGGCTCTGGAGCGGTAAAACTCAGCAAAGATGTAAGGATCCCGTACGGAGGAAGTGCGGGCAACGTGAACATTTGTCTACCGTCCGTGGCCTGCCTCAACGCAGCAGCTTGTTGCCAAATCCCCGAATCTCGATGCTCGGCGCTGAACGTTAAATGACTTTTGCGCCACGTGTTTCCGCAGCGACAGCTCGCTGGTAGGATAAGTGACTGGAGGAGAATGCAGTGTCGAATGCAACGAGTGTTAGAGCGAATGAAGCCGTAGAATTATTCTCGGTTGCTAGCAACTGGTTGTCATCTTGCTGTTCTTGTCCGGACTCCTGAGGTTACTTCGAGTTGCCTCGAGTTGCGCCTCGTCTGCTCGACGTTTTGGCAGTTTGACGTATCCATAGCACACATAGTGAAATCAAGTCATCTGACGAGGCGTCGCTTAGGGCTCGGTTGAAGTAGGAGTGAAGGTCTTTGCAACAGTTACACATGCATAACCGCGATGGTTCACCAACAAACTTGCCTCAGTACCGAATCTGCGCTCTAGGCCACAGGTGACTTTTACCAATCGCCGCTCTTGGCAATAGATAGATATGGCGCGTGGCAGGGTCTCGCGCGCGGTGGCGCGACTGCTGCGGCCTTTTCAACGCAGCAACAGCAAAGCGGCAACCGACGACACATCCTCGAAGCGGCAGCGCGGCTCCATTTCGTCTACAACCAACACGTCGTCTACATGCTCCACGTCCTCGTCGTCCTCACGCAGCAGCGGCGGCTTCCGCGGGGCTACTAACACGCGCGTCTTCCCGCTCAAGACCGATAGTGACGGGATTCCGCACACGGTTCTCATGCCTCCCGCCTTCTTCCGGCAACTGCGAGCGCTTGTGGAGCAGACGAATGCGCTAACCACTGGCGAATACCGCGCGAGTCACAAAGGACCAGAGCCGTCGCTCAACAGCTCTAGAACCACCCTCCGCTGGAGAGGAGACTTCAGCACCAAGACGCTTGATAAGCTCGTCATTATCCTCACGGAGGACGACACGGACGGCTTTGCTAGTTCCATCGGACGGCGCTCAGCCAAGCCGGTGCCTCTGGAAACAGCCGCTAAGGCCATGCTACAGCTGTGGAAATGCTGCATGCAGATCCTAGACGTGCTTGCTGATGGCGCAGCTCCCGAGCCATCCTTAAGACATACGATGGCCCACTCAAGGGACGTTGCCATCGCGGCTGCGAACGAGAAGAAGCTTCAACTGGAGCAGGCGGCATTGACTCTGCTAGCATTGGTGATCAGACGACAGGAGTTCGACGCTCTGTTGGTGGCGGTTGGCCACGGAGGCTGCAAGAACCACAAGCCCACAGAAGAAGCGCGACACGGTATGTCCCGACTGTCTAAACGGCTATCTCGCCAATCGCGACGGTCACGCGTCTCCACCAATGCAAAGAGTGGAAACCGGTCGTCGTCAAACTTGTCTGGTCAACCGAAAAAGAGTAAGCGCGGCCAAGACCGCAATGTACGACTCTGTGACTCTGTGCACCACTTCTTGGAGTTGCACCAGTCGACACTACAATATGCCTTTGAGACGGTGCACGGTCCCATCGATTCCAGTGGCAGCCACACGGAATTCAACCCGTTCGATCAGCACCAAGAGCTCTTATCTGCTCTCGTGGCCACAAGCTACATGCGCGTCCCACGGCTTCGTAGCCACATTCTCGACAGCTTGAGTAACCTGGTGCCATCAACTGCTTTCAGCAGCACACATTCGATGTCGTTCTCGTTTGTGAATTCCCGTGGACGCGGCAGATCTCTATACGATGACAAGCTGCGACTCACGCCATACAACTGGCATTTGAGTATGTACCCGCAATGCCAGAACCTGCTGGCGACAATGAACCGTGAAGAACGCTGGGCTCCTTCTTCGCAAATACTCAACCAGCTAATGGTTGACACTGACGGCTGCATGTTGGTACTCGCACAGATCTTCGAGCAGCTCACAGGCCGGCAAGTTCTGGGACGCACCAATTGGAAATGCATCCCCGGCGCCGAATTACTGAAGGACGCAACACTAGAAGTGACGAAGAATTTATTTGAAACGGAGCTCCAGCAACGCGAGCCCAAGTGGCAAGACACAGTTGACGAGAAAGTCGACAACGAAACTGCCTCTGCAACTGAGAAGCAACCCTTCCGCGACTCGTTTTCACTCATGGACGGAGCGCTGGAGGAAGTCAACACGCCTACTGCGTACTTTGCCGTTCAGGTGACAGCCATGATGCACGAGAACGTCGGATTCATCCACGAATACCTCATGGCGATTCTGCGATCCACCAACTACATGCTTCCACACCACGTCAGTCTGTGTCTGCAGTATCTGGAGAAGTTGATGTTGGAATTCCCGTCCTTCTTTGCCAATGAGCCAGCAGCTCAAGACTTCCTGGTTCTCTCCACTATGGAAACGTCGAACCCTCACAACCAGCCACAGCAGGAACAAGCGTGCGCTGACATCGAGACGCTACGCTACGTGTTCTCGTGCCTCTTGGACTCGGAGCATTTCGAGATTCTAAAGGCAACGGAGCTCTTCCTACTCAAGAACTTTATGGGCCTTTCAGTCTCGTTGCAGCTGCAGCTCACGGACTTGCTTGCGATGCACGTCAAGCGGCTCTTCCTGCACTGGAATCGCGACGTGCGGTACTGCTACTACCACATCTTGCTGTACTTGACGTATCCGGGCAACCGCCTAGTGCTGTGCGCCAAGTCGGACGAGGCTCTTATGGGCGCTGAGGCCTCGCGGCTGTTCGAGATCCCCGGACTCGTGCGTACAGGCAGCACTGTTAACTGGGATGCCTTCGACGTCCCGCTCCATCAGATCGTTGCTCGCTACACACAAATGACCAAGCGTAAGCAGCGAGGAAGACAAGCGCCTTCTTGGGTGGACGCTGTGCCCTGCGCCATAGTGCAGCGCTCTGTCACCGAGTACAAGACCCACGTGAAGACGTACTTTGCCTACGCGCAGCAGATTTCCATGCACCAGCGCGTACCGACCCCCGTGTTCTCCGTCAAGACCGGAGAGAACGATTCCGCCCCTGTCACGACGGACAGCGCTCTCGCGGCGGCATCATTAGCGTGAATATAGTCGATAGAACAAAATATAAACATGTGCATCGTGTCAGAACAATGCAATTATCAAGTTGAAAAGTCAACATGAAGTTTTGTTTCGGTGGTCGCACTGATTGACCAATAGAAAATGTCCATTTCTATCACTTTTGAATCAAAAGTTTAGACAGTTACGATGCGCTCGACGGCGACCATGTTCCTGCGTCGAAGTGGACGTGTGTTCTCGACTGCCTCGACCGGCCGTCGCGTGTTGTGCTCGCTGCAGGAGCTACGAAACCTGCAGGGCAAAGGCCTCAAGTTTCCGTTACACCCTCCAGAGCCGAAGGAAGCGACACCAAAGACCGACACGAAGCCTCGTCGTCGACGAGACCTGCTGACAACCGGATTCGTGTTTTACAACGAGAAGACGCAACAACCTCGAGCCTTTATCAACAGGTGTGTGCTTGTCCTTACTCTAGTGTTTTCATTGCTGTCTGACGCTCTGTTTGGACAGGTGTCCCCACGCGATGCTGGAGCTCGACTTTGACGACAGCGATTTCTTCTGCGAAGGCTTCATCCATTGTAAAGTCCACGCAGCGTTCTTTGATCCAGATACAGGAATTTGCCTTCAAGGCCCCATTTCATCACGGAAAGCTTTGAGAGTGTGTATAATTGGCATGAGATTACTGGTCTGAACCTTGAAGCTCTTACTTACCTACTGTTTTGGTGTTGACAGGGTCTGGATGAGCTTCGAATGGAAGTAGATGGAGAGGATGTTGTATTACTGGCTGAACAAGCCAAGGCGAGATTTACCTCCATGCCTGCTTACGACAGTCAGGAGCCGGAGGCCTATAAGCGCGAGAAGCAGCGAGAACTGGCGGAGGCACTTTCGAAGCGCTCGGATATGTCGGAGGTGGAGGAGATGCAACTGCGGTTGCACGAGAAGACGATGGCGCGGTTGGAGAAGTACGGGCAGATGAGTAAACCAGCGCGTAAACCGAAGAAATAGCACGAGCGAAGCCAAGCTTTCTAATAGTACACGAGCTAGCCCCGCTTACAAACTACTTTTTTGTCTTGGTTTGACAACGTATTTGCACCAGAGATCAAGCTTGTGCGGCTGAATGAACACTCAGATGCACTAAAGGGCGCTATCGACTACCGACTGTGTGTTGTACTGCGTGTTGAACAGTAAGCTCGTGCACTGTCTCCAGTAAGCAGACTATAACAGACTGACTACACGCATCTGAACACAGCATATTACTACGTAGTAGAATCTACTGTAGATGCGCCAAAGAAGGTGACACAAACGCACGTGTCTATCGGACGTTGAGTCGAGGCCCTTGACTCGACTTGGTTCAAGTGTTGCTTGGACTGAAGGAGTTGCGGCTCCAAGCAGAAACAACAGATCCAGCCAGACCACAGTTGCAATCGGCGCTGCGTTTCTCGACACCAACCCAAGCAGAATGAGCACAATCCAAGCAGCCCATGTATGGTATCTTCAGACGCGCCAAGCAGCACCAGTGCCGCGAGAGGCAAAAAGACACGTACAGCATTCGCTACGTTCGCACTGGATCTGCAATACTAGCTGCATGCCATGCAAATAACCGGAGTTGCAATGCTGCTACTGCGGTGGTGGGACCGAGAGAAGCGCAGATATGGTCCCATAAGTGGTTATCATATTGGTGAAGAGCTTGTTCATGCCCGGCGTATTGCGGTGGCTCGGTAACTAGTCGCGCGGGTTCCGCCTGTCCCGGCTTCACCTTGGTACGCAGCAAGTGACGGAATGAGCAATAGACGTCTGCAACGCTGCATAGTCTCCGCTGCAACCTAACCGACTTGCAAGTTCCCGATATATGTAGAGCTCGCGTTATTATCCTCAGTGAGCGACTCACTCAATCCGTTGGTGGCCCATGCTTTGCCTCATGCTTCAGTCTTGCGTGAATGATGTGCTTGCAATTCAGTCGAATTACTGGTTTTGTTCTAATACACCCGACTAATCGGTCGTCCAAGACACACTCCTGATCCCGTCTGAAAAAAGTTAAGGTAAAACTCATCAGCAAGACGGGAGCAGTAACGATGTTTCAAACTTCAACTTCAGTAAACGTCGTGTATTGGACGATACACGGCGCCGTCACGGCCAAACCTACAGATACCCTCGGGGACCACACACCCGGATCGTCATTCTCGCTCTTCCCTCGTCCTACAGAGATCTCCAGACCCGCATCTTCAGCAGCAATGGTAGCTATTGCTAACGATAAGAAGGCCACTACCGGTGGCGTTGTGGCAGCGCGTCTACTGGGCTCTACGTGCTCTGGTCTCTGCGAGCTTATGATCTTCCACCCCGTGGACACGATCGCTAAGCGTCTCATGACCAACAAGGAGCCTATGCACGGTATGGCTGGCCTCAACAAGGTCATCTTCCGCGACGCATACGAAAAGCCTGTGTTCGCGCGCTACCGCTCGCTGTTCCCCGGTCTGGGTTTCGCTGCTGGCTACAAGGTCTCGCAGCGTATCTACAAGTTCGGCGGTCAGCCCGTGGTCAAGGACTACATGAGTAAGAACCACGCTTCCTTCTTCGAGCACACGTTCGGCGAGCGTAATGCCAAGACCATGATGCACGCCACGGCCGGCAGCCTCATCGGCATTGGCGAAATCGCTCTCCTGCCGCTGGATGTGCTCAAGATCCGCGCACAGACCAACCCGGCCGCCATTGCCGGCAAGGGCGTGGCCCACATCTTCAAGACGGAGGGCTTCGCTCTGTACCGTGGCGCCGGCTGGACGGCTGCGCGTAACGCGCCCGGCTCGTTCGCTCTGTTCGGTGGTTCGGCCCTCGCCAAGGAGTATCTCTTCCAGCTCGAGGACTTCAACAGCGCCACCTTCTTCCAGAACTTCGTGGCGTCCATCTCTGGTGCCTCCGCCAGTATCATCGGTATGTTACCGGTATATTACTTTTCGTGACAGTTTCTGTATGTTTGCTGACGGTATTTTTGTGTTTTTGCAGTGGCGCAACCGCTTGATGTGATCAAGACACGCATCCAGTCGCGTCCGTTCGACTCGCCCGAGAGCGGCATGACGGTCGTGCGCAACCTGCTGAAGACTGAGGGCCCTGGCGCTCTGTTCAAGGGTCTGATCCCGAAGCTGTCAGTCGTTGGCCCCAAGCTCGTGTTCTCGTTCGCAGTGGCACAGCACTTGATCGCGTACTTCGAGAAGTCTTTCGCTTAAGTAGACTACGCAGCGATAGAAGCAGAGGAGAGACCGACGACTGATCTGTTGCTCGCGCTAGAGCGTTCGCAGTTAACTGTCACGCTGGTACCTTCATTTATAAATATGTTCTTTCAAGTTTTGCACGTTGTTTTCTATTAAAGCATACACTGGTGTTCAATTACTTCAATACAAGATTGAGCACGGTGCGCACGAGTACGAGAGTGACGCCACCAGCAGAGGCAACGATTGCGAGCAACGCGAATGCAAGTTTCCACTTCCAAAGCCGTCGTGGTTGTTGGGCAAACGCGTGTTGAGGGAAGTAGAGCTGCAGTATGGAAGCAAGTGACTCGTTCGTCGATACTGGAGTCCCGTCTGGATGCTCCAGACTCGTGGTTTCCAGCAAAAAAATGGCACGCAGTCCGTAGTGATCGGACAAATGCGTTATCGGCAACTGTCGATGAAGACTTTGTTGGGATTGATCACCGTAGTCGTTTTCAGTGAGCTCTGTCACGGAGCAATGGTCCACTGTTGTGCCCTCGTCCACTAAAGTCAATCGGAAACGTGGTGATACTACAGACTCCACACTTGCATTGTCATCATCGTCTCCATCGTTCGTACTGTCAGTACTAGTAGTGGCAGAGACTGATGTCTGGTCATTGACGCCTGGGAAGAAGAACATGTAGTCGATACACTTGCCATCCTTCTCCAAAGAGAGTGGGTCCGTCTTGTGGAAAAGTAGAGAGTGTCCGTCACCATTAGTGATCGGGTGGATCTCTTCGCCGAGCTTGGTAGTATCACAACGCTTCATAAGGTCGATGATGAGAGGGTCTGCTGTGTTGTCTGCATCGACAGTTTTTCCCGCTTCCCTCGCGAAGTTCAACCTCGCCTCACGCACCACACGCTCAAAGTCTGCCACAAGTTGCTGATACACTTTGCTCTCTCGACATCGAGTAGATATGGCCAACCCAGTCTGCGAGTCATGCACTAAATCATGTCGAGCGTCCAGGTTGAAGTCGCCTGTGATGAGGACAGGTACTCCAGGGTCGTCTCGGATCGTTCTGGCAATAAAGCGGTGCATCTCTTGAAGCTGAGCGAGACGAATACTGTAGTCCTTGTAGTTGTCACCTGCTTGCGTGTGTGTAGTGAACACGTGGAGTGAGTCCGAGAGATCCGGCGATAGCTGGATGCGAGCGTAGAGCACGCCCTTGGCACAGATCCCGTCGCTGCCGGAGCCTTGCGAGTACGCAAGCTGGTCGCGCTCAACGATCGGGTAGCGACTGAGAATCAGCAGTCCGCCATCAATAAGGCGGGAGTCCAGAAGTCGCGGCCATACCGAGCCGCAGTGGTAGCGAAAGCCCATGGCGTAGGCTTCGCGCACGAAGCGCCTCTGTCTTGGTCCGGCCTCGAACATCTCCTGGAGGATCACCACGTCGAATTTGGCCATTTTACGGAGAAGCAGTGCCACTCTCAAGTCTTTGTAGTCACCAGTTTTGAACCACTGACCGCTGTGAATGCCTTCAGGGCGGCAGAAGATCTGAAATAAATGTACCCATACACCTCGTGAGATCAGATTCGGCCACTTCAAAGAGCTCTACAGCCACGTACGTTCATGCTGAGCACAGCGAGACGCTCCTGTACTTTTGCCATGGCTCTTAAGTCGCTGGAATCGATGAGAACGAAGAGAAAATCGCAGTCTACAGCTTGACACACGTCGAGCTTCGAGGTCCAGGGGTCCGTGCTACTGGCGACGAATTGAAGACTGCCGTTTCTTGTGACCGTTATCTCACCGAGCTTATACCCTTTTTCATTGGCTAAAACGAGTCTTACTGCTTCTTCATTGGCTTAAATTTGTAAGTACGTAGCATTCAAGCACTTTCACTGTTGAGCACATCCAGCTGCCGCTGCAAGGTGGCCAGTGTGCGCTCTGCCTCTCGTACCTGGGCCTCGCGTGTCTCGGCAAGCGCGCAATACTTGGCTACTAACGATAATTCCTGCCGCTTGGCGGTGATCTCGGCTCGTAGCTCCTTTTGGCGCTGTGTAAGCTGCGCCTCCGTGAACTTGAGCTCGCCGGCGACAGCGTTGACCTCGTGCATCTGTTTGCTTTGGTCACGAATAAACTCCACAGTTTCCAGCTCATCTTTCGCCTCGAACGCTTCGATTTCCTCGGTTGTGTTGAAAGTCTCAAATCCTACGACGCCGCGAAAGAAACTTCGGTGAGAAGGGAGAGCGATCTGCTATAGCGGCACAACAACACGTAGAGCTTACCGATGGTCGTCATTTCCTGGACGACAGCATCAACGTGACGTTGTCTAGCGATTTCTTGGTTACGTATCGCTGCGTTCTCGGCGAGAACAGCACGGAGAACATGGAGCTGCACGTCTGCTTCCCATGATAAACTCACTGCGCTTGCGAGCTCCGGTTCGTCCATGTTGAAATGTGCTGCGGTCATGACAGCTTCTGCGTCCACGCTCACACCAACGCCATGGCGAGAGCCGTCTACCCACTGCCCGATGTACTTGTCCCCTAGTATTCCAACGTAAACGCCGTATCCACTCGCTACGCCGTCGTGAAACTCTCCAGAGTAAGTGGCTCCGTTCGTCTGCAACTCCACTCCTTCGCCATTCTTCTTGCCATTCTTCATCGCACCGGAATACGTCGATCCAAACACCGAGAGCAGAACCCCCAGGCCATCAGGAACACCGTCTGAAACATAACAACCCAGTTAGCAAGTGTCTAACGTAGCAATGGCAAGTAAACACGCACCACCGTTGACTTCTCCGTGGTAAGTCGATCGATCCGTCGACGTCACCGTCGCCAGCTTCACTGTCTTGGTCAGATCACGACCTTCATTCTCATCAAAATGATCCTCCTCCTTAGCACCATGGCTAGTTACACTCGACCCCGGTCTGCTTCGGTCGCTGCGGATGGAGGCAACAGTGCCGCTTGCCGACGATGTTGGCATGTTGCCTTTGATGTTTGCCCCAGTTTGAACGTCCTTTCGCGGCAAACCCTCTATCTATGGGTTTGTATGCCACTTCAACTTGCAGGTTTGATACGCACGTCATTTGACAAAGTTGCCTGTCAAAGGCAAATAAGAAACCCAAGCACCAAAAAGAAAAAGCACAAACTCAAGACACACGCGGAGATGGCCAATATGAAGCCTGTTCGCTCTCGATCTGGGTACGTAGTGGTAAAGAGAGTTAGCTGACTGCGTCCTGAGGTCATCCGCATTGCGATAACGTTGCTTTGAGCTTCCACCGACTTCTATGGGCTCCGTTATCAGTGTCATAGCCACTTAACATCTTCGCTACTAGGTCGCGTGAAAATGACGCATTTGGATGGCAATTGTTCCACGATCGACAGCACAACTTGGTTTACTACCTGCATAGCTACACAGGCGAAGTGCGGTGGCCTCGACCGGAGACTGTGGGCTTCGTCATGCACGGACTTAGGCCACTGCCTGCGCAGACCGGAATTGATACCAGAACGGATGCCTGCACTGTCAATCCAGACATTTGGAGCCCGTACTACCCGCACGTAGTCATGTTGCCTTCTGGTTTAGTGCAGGTGCATCCTGGACCTAGCTCAGACACTCAAAACGCGGTCGAAATGTGGTGCGGATACAATCGCTTCCCACTCCGACTTCCAGGACAACACGGCGCACGAATGCTGCCACCCACATGGGAAGACTCGCACAGTGGGTCACCATTCTTGCCTCCGTATCCAGTTGCCGTCCTTGGACGTGACGACAAGGAAAGCAAGCGCCAAGCTGCACCGAAATCCCCTCTCCAACATATTAATGAGCGATTCCAGACTCCAGAGGTCAACCTTCCACGCAGTCGAAACCCCAGTCAGAACAGTGAGCTTGAACGAGCTCAAGGTTCACAGGATTGGCCGGTACTCAACCCACCAAGCACGACCACCCAGACTACCGATCGCATGCAACCAGGTGCACACAAACCGCTCTATATCCTTTAATGCTGCGTGCGTTTAACCTGTACGTTGCAGTGTATCCGAAGGGATTCTCGGCGTCGAACACGGAGAAGAAGGAGCACAACCGCAAAGGATATCTCCTTCGACAGGCGCGTAAGATGATGCGAGACGGTGGCTCCAGCTCAACAGCGACACCTCCAAATTCAGGCCCAGCCACATCAACCAAGCAGCGAACTCTCCAGCCGTGACAAGCAAGATGCCTACGGAGACTTCGAAACCATCTCCCCGCTACACTGTTGAGCGGATGACCCGTCAATTTCCACTGAATACGTGAGAAGGATTATTTACTCGAGAGAAGACCAACACCGTATCGCCGTGGACGCAAGAAGCTCTACAAGAGCCATGGAGGTCGTGCAGAACCTGATGATACAGTAACTTTTGAATTGAAGTGATAATTGCGTACTTAAGGCGTACTTAGTCGCCATTTGGCAATTCTTGGCATAAAATGCTGCGACGAGCTCTAGTGGCGACGTGCGGCTCTCGGTACTGACACGCTGATAGCTTCTGCGAGTGTTCGCTCAATAACAACAATGTATATGTGTGGTTGCGCTTAGATTCCGTGTCTGCCGGTTGGCGCAGACACGTGAGAAGATCACAATCCCGGCCGCTGGAGGTACACGTCGTCGCCGTCTGAAGCCCAAACTGCCCAAGGACAAGTGAGTGGCAACAAGGAAACAACTTTCAATGAACATCTCTGATTATGAAGCTACTGGACAGGTTTACAACACTGTCAACGGAGTTCCTGGACCGTGTGCAAGCTGCGGTGGAGCCGCTCCACCCTCCGATCAATGATGATTTCCAGCTCCAACGTGATGGCAGTGCGTGACTTGATGGGATTTTCGTGCCTTGGGTCTGTATTGAATTATCTATTGCTGTTAACCACTGGAATAGATGGAGAGCTCGTCATCCGCACCAATTCCAAGGAGTTCGTGATCAAGGTGCTGTCTTCCAAGCAGCAGATCGAGTTTTTATCTCCGGTAAGAGAATTCACGCTCGTTTTGGTCCTAACTCCGTGCTAACAACCACTTTACCTTGTAGGTTTCTGGTCTCCGCACATACCAATGGAACTTGATGACCAAGAGATGGGAAGACGAGGTAAAACTGCAAGTGTTGATGGCTATGACTGTACTTACCGCTAATCTGCTACGCAGACTGACTCACACGACATCGAAGGACTCCTGACACGCGACTTGATGCGCTTCTGTGCGGGGATCCCGCTGTTTTAAACCACAACAGGCACGAGGGAGAGAACAATCGAGAGACCTACACCGAGCTTGAGTGGGCGAATAGACTTTTACTGTACGAGGCCCACGCACCATAAGCTGCATCAGCCTGTTTCGCATTCTTTTTCATTTTTTTCATGTTGTAAGCTGCATGAGACTTGCTTTCTGTGTCGCTGGCACCTGAGCCTATTACTCCAGCGTCTTCAGTAAGCGGAACAGTCCAGCTGCTTCGCGGATACGACTAAACTCGATACAAAAAGCCTGCACCTCAATGATCAAGTCCTGATAAAAAAAAACAGAGTTAGAGACAAACAGCACTAATAAAACCATCACTGGGACGTACCTGCACGTTAATGATCTTGTTGCGGATCAGCGACTGCAGGAAGACACATACCAGACGCACCAGACGGTTCTGCATGTACTTGTCCTTGATGTTCTCGCACGACGAAATGCAGTTGGAAATGTACAGGTGGATGAACTCGGTGGGCAAATCCACGGCCGTCGTCAGGCGATTCACGACCTCCATCGAGTGTAGAGACATATCCATGTTCACTAGCGCTGACAGATATTCTGTGATCTGGTTGGAAGACATGAGCTTCAGCAGGCAATCGATGGCCAGCATCGGGTTGTTCTCCACTAGATCCGGCAACCGCTGAGGTGTCAACGAGCAGTGATACACGAGCTTTGGATCCGCTTCAAGCTCCGCCAGCACCTTCTGCTGCAGCGACGGCACTAGCGGTTTCTGAAATGCACGCAGCATAAGCTCCCGCAGAGCGATCCCGTGTGCCGAGTCCAGCATCGTAGAGTCCCACAACACAGTGGGGCAGTAGTCTGGGTTCAACCAAATCAACTCGGTCATATCTGGCTCTAGAATCGGCGGAGGCAGACGCATAAATGTCGGCTCAAAGCTCAGCAGTGACAGTGATCCTGTGGACGACGCGCTCGCAGCAGAACTTGACGTAGCGGCGGGGGTACCGGACGATGTCTCCGCGTCGCTCAGCAAGCTCATCTCTTCCAGCGACAGCGCTTCAAAACACGGCAAGTTCAACGAACTGACCTCATTGGGAGGTACCTGTAGATTGGCGCCATTGTTCACGTGTTCCTGCAGGTCGAACTCTGTGTCTGTCACCACGTTGCGGATACCTGCTGCTCGGAATTGTGGCACGGATGGGGTGCGCTCCAGGTAGCTGTTCCTCATGGCCTCCACGTCGAATTGAACCGGTTGTGACGGGTTCGCTCGGAGCTCTGCCATCATCTGCTTTGCTGTCTTCTTGCTCGACTGTATGAAATAATTCACAGTTAATATAGGCATCTTCCTTACTCCACTTTAATGTTTTGCGTACCTCGCGAGCGCTTGGAGGTGACAGCAAGTGTACGATGAACTTCTTCTCGCATAGATCGCTGCCTTTCTCCAATGCGTCCAGGAATACGGGCAGGAACGGGTTCGTTGTGGCGCCTTCATTGCGGTACAGATCGCTCAAGATCGAGAAGCTCACGATACGCTGCAACATACAACGAGTATCAGCCTTCCGCTAGTATAATAAACATGTTTAAAACAGTAGAAACCTTGGACGAACCTGTGAGCTGGTGAGCAGATTGTCCTGAAGCAGGATGCAGATAGTGCAGCCCACTTTGAAGTGGTCGTTCTTGGTGAAGGTGCGCAGGAACATGCTGGCTACCTGCTCCAACGGTTTATCGTCCTCCTGTAGAGCGATTGAGTGTCAAATACACGTCGTTAGAGGCCGCATTTGCTCATTTTTAGCGCTCGTTTCTATCAACTGAAAGAACTCAGCAACAGTGCAGTCGTTCTCCTGTCTACGAGGATCCTGAAGCCAATACGAAACGAGCGAGACTGCTGACTGCGAGGTACGCACATTGAGGATGGCCAGAAGCGGCCTCAGCTCTCGGATTTCCAGCATCGCGGCGGAGAGCGAGGGGAACGACGTCAACGCGGAGGCTTCGTGCGTGCTCTGGTGCAAGACTTTTTGCCTTGACGGGAGGAGGCGGCAGAATGCGAACTTAACGCGTATCACATGCGAACTTAATCTCGCACAAAAGCGCCACAATCATTTCCACCTGGATTGATAAGCATCCATGGCTCCTTCTTCTGTACCCGATTCGCTGCTGGCTCGCGTGCGGCCTTCGTGTGCCAAGCTGGTGGCGCATGAGTCCTCGTGTGTGCGTATTAACGCGGACAAGGTGCGCACGTTCGAGGAGCAGCTGGACGCCAAGGAGTTCGAGCAGCTCGCAGAGCCCATGAACTTCCCGCTCAACTTCCGCTCGCAGCAGGACGAGATCAACTTCCTCAGTGCGTAGCTCTACAACGGAGGGTGTAAAGGCTACTGCAATTGTTGACTGTGTGAGCCGGTATATGGTGATGAATTGCAGCGCTGTATGCACTGTTAAACTTCGGCAGCGGCTTCAGGAAGGACCTGCACAAATACACGGATCGAGGAGCTCACGACACCATTGTGAGTGTCGTTGTGAGGGTATTGGTGCAGTTCGATTACTGAAGGGTGTTTCGCTATTGTTCAGGTGTTCGGACTCATTGGCATGTACATTTCTGTACCCAAGCTGGACGCTCAGTTCATGAAGAACTTGACCATTGACCTGGTGGCGAACTACTTCAGTATCCCACTGGAGAAGGATGAGGAGGTCTCTACGGGTATCTACATGGCCAAGCCGGTAGGTCACATACGTTTAAAGATTAAGGATCTTTCATCAAGTATTAATCATCGGGGTTGCTGGATGGATACAGGGACCATTGAAGCCTCTGGCTGTGATGCTTCAGAAGGTGGGCCATTGACGCACTTCCGGTGCGAAATTGAGCATGGCAGACTAATCTCTGTCAATGTGTCGGTGGTGTTGCCGACTATAGATCCTGAACGAGTCCGGACAGAAGCTGATTGACCTGAAGATGGAAGATTTCGGCGCGTTCGTCCTGGCCAACCTCGCTCCAGAAACCTCTGCTGACCAAGAGGAGAAGGAGTCTGTCCGTCCTAGTGCAGTGTACCTCGTGGATCAATTCGTGTCGACGTTCCCGGGCTTTGACGACCACTACGAAATCCAGGGCGAGAAAGTGTATCTCCTCAAACGTGCCCAGCTCGCCGTCGCGTGCATTCACCGTCGATTCAAGGTATAAGATCTCACGACTGCTTCAACGTCGTCTCATAAGCTGACTTATGCAATGATCTCCAGGATTCCGAGCCTAAGCTGACATTCACTGACATCAACGAGCTCACAGCTTTCAGCGATAACGTAAGATCACGTTATGTGGTAATGACACGAGATCCTTGCTGACTTGTTTGTCATTATTCAGGTGTTGCCGTGTGTACTCCACGCTCTCGGTGTGCTTGAGGTAAAGAGCTGTCAATTGGCTCTTGATCTCTGCTCATTATTTAACACGCTTTGCTTTGTACCAGTACGACGCGGGCTTGGAGGCTCGGATTAACCGCGGCGAGGAGTTGCCTGCCGGGAAGGAAGAGTGCGAGCTGCGCGCCGCTGCGGTCGTTGCATGCGATCAGATCGTAGCCGAGAGCAATGGCCGCATCGGAACCCTCGAGTTGGACTTCTACCTGTGGCGCGTAGGCAAGGAGGACCGCTTCCGAGGCCTCGAGCGCCACGCCACGCGCGATACGTTCTTCTACTAGTTGCCACCGAAAAGTTCGATCACCGAGCTGGCAATTCGCAGCTCATCTAACGTCAAACACGATAATTTTCACGCAACTGCCTCTGCCGAAGCACTTCAACTCGCAATTGCGATTTGCATTTCTGCAGGGGGACGTTTCGGATCGCTTGGCCACCAGCAATTTGTGTGTTGCCTCTTTGACTCAAAGCGGCACCAAAGTTTGACACCCTGAGATGAAAATGGAGACGTCCACAGCAAATCAGGCGCAGTGTAGCAAGCGGGACGGGCTCCGCAGCAAGCAGGGACGGCGCGAAAAGTATCGCAACTCATGGAGGAGAACTCGAGCCGAGCCTTCGCGAATCTTCCTGGCAGTCCTCTTCTTTGCCCACAAAGATGGGTACTCCCGCGACGCAGCCGCCGTCGTTACCCGTGCTCGCTGCATGGCCTCGATGTCTCTCACTCACTCGAGCTTTCTCTCTGCGTAGCTGAGAACACGCGCGGCGCTTCCGAACACGCGTGCGCTGCAGCAGACAAGGAATCAGGTCGCCAAGGGCGCTACAATCTCCACCAGCCAAACGTGTGCGATTCAGCTCCGTATCAGATTCTTTTTCCCGAGGTGTTGCCAAATCGCCTCCAGCCACTTGCTCGCCATCCACCAACATTTAGGAATGAGCGACGCAGGCGTCATGATGCATCTAGGAGGCTTCGCGTGGCGAACAGCAGACAAGAACGAGTCCAGTCCAGACCGCCGCATTAAATTGGCGGCGGACGTCACGAAACCTCCGGCGCTATCGCTTCGCCGACGATCTCTGGGTGCCATGCCGGGTTTGGCTCGTTACCGCTCGGACTCGGCGGCAACAGAACCGCGTCTCAGTATCTGCAGCACATCCGGCACCGTGTACGAGAGCGTCGTGGTTGTGGGACACATGTACGGCTCGGATAAGGTCGTGTACTACCTACTGGAAGTGCGATCATGGGAGATGCCGCTAGAGGGCTACGTGGTTCGGCGTCGCTACAATGACTTTCTCAAATTCCATCAGGAATTGACCCAATGCATGCCGTCACACCGTCGTCGAAGCAGCACCAGCCTTGGTTTCGGCTACTCTTCGCTGCTCTGCAATCCGTTGACAAGAGCGACCCCCGAGGCCTCACCGCTCTGGTCGCCTGTACGGACGGACGATGGACGTACAGACCAGAGGAAAGGGTCCTGGATTAGTGAGGATAGCACCAATTCACAGGCTCAAGTCGACGACTACGATACGAGGAGCAGCGCCCCCACTGCACTGACCGGAGTATCGAGCTACAATAATGATGCGGTGCTACCGCTGGACGCCGTCAAGTTCAACTTGGCGGGACGTCCGTGGTTACCGCCCATGCCTGGTGGCGGAATGCTCACTATGTTTACTACTCGTCATGCACTCATCAATTACCGCATCGAGCAGTTTAACCACATCCTGGCGGCCGTGATGAGCGACAAATCCAGTGACGTGGCGAAATTGCTCATGAATTTCATCCAGGAGAAACCAGGCACACAAGCACAGACGTACACGACTTTATCCGAGTACGCGCCAATCGACATCCCGTTCAACGTGGAGCGGTACGCACGACGGCGAGCCATGTCCATAGGTAAGCGCCAACTGCGTGACCAAGTATCCTCGCCCGTACCGTGACAACGCCGAGAAGTAGTGCTGTAGAGTAGCGATAGTTTAATTGTTCATGTAAAGATCCTAAGATCCAAAGTGTAGCCACTTTAGGCCAACTTCAACTACATGTACCATTTGGGTTTAGACTCGTGTGAGGTTCGTCATTTCCAGTTTGGGGCTTGTGGTCATCAACGAGGATGCTCGTAAGGCTGTGTTCGACGCTGTGGTGGTTTTCGCCTCGTTCACACATGCAGGGATAGTGTCGTTGCTGATTACGAAGCGACCAGAAGAAGCCATCGCGCAGTTAATCAAGGTCTATCCCTGGTCCGGTGCTCACGGCTTACGAGACGATAGATTAGCGGCCGAGAGTACGAGTCCCAAACGACTGTGCTTCCTCATGAATATGGAGACGACTACGATGCAGATGAAGCCTATACACCGGTACTGATCCACAATCCTGGGTCGCGAGACTACATCAGCGTCGAAGGCAATGTCTTCAACGAAGCGACCAAAAGATTGCGGTACTTATTTATCCCGAACGATGTAGAAGCCGCTAAAGTATGGCAAATGCTGCCTCGGTGTTTTGACGGGATATCACAGGCAATGGGATCTCAAGCTGGGTCGACGAGAACGCTGGCAGTGCGAGCCACCATTTTGGAGCGGATGACGCCGACGAACCTTGTGTGCAGGCGAGTCATCGGTATGCAGAATATCTACGCTAGTCTGATGCAGGAGGGGATGGTCAACCTGTACGACTTTGACATGTACATTGGACACCAAGCTGCGAAGAACGTGCTGGACGCCGTGTTCGGAATCGGAAGCACATGGCGGCTCACCAACCGTCGATAGCAGCGGCGTAATGGAGTATCCATATCATTCTCATTTTAATCTTGTTCTTCGATTAACCAGGTCCTGATGCAAACAATATCGACGCGTTCCAACAAATGCTGTACGTGTGTCACGAGTATCTGTTGGCGCCATAGTTGCCCCCCAGCAGCTACCAAGCGACCTTGAAGTTGGCATTCTTGTCGTGGCTCTTGTCGTGTGGACATCCGACAGAAGTTTGACCATGGAGCATGCATCGATTGGCTGCCTCCGCCGTCAATGACGGCGCCCCATGGGCCCACTGGGGCGCATTACTCCTTGTGCTCACGAAACAAACCTCATCGAAATGAGGCGACCAGAAGGTGGCATTTCGACGCGTGCCCCACAACAGCGTTCGGCGTTGTCGGCTGGCGCGGGCACATGAAGTTTCATGATGAACAGCCAATTATTTGATACCGTCTAAAATGGGCGGTTTCAAGCGAGAAAAAAGGGAACTGGTATCCATTTCTAGAAATGGGTACTCTTTGGACTAAAGAGCTCAAGCAAACGGCAACGCTCGTCACTTTGCAGGCAGCAATAAAGAAGGATACAACAACAAGTGAGAATCCTTAGTAAGTTACTAAGTTACACACCTTCTATCGATTGACAGGAGAAGCTCCAAGAACGTGCGTGAACTTGCTCGGTACAAAATGTAGAACTCGTTTGAGACTTATCTTGCTTCGTATCCGCTGTCCTCCAGCATTCTCTGCTTTGGTGCTGCGTCATTCCTTTCAGGGTTGTTCATTTGAATGCACAGCTTCATGCTTACATGTCGTCAATATGAAGTATAGAAGATTTGATGGCTTATTGCCCAACCTTAGTAGCATCGAACGAGCGTTCGTTGCTTGGAAAGTTCAGCAACTAGCAACTGAAAAAGTGTACATTCGTTCCGACCACATCCCTGCAAACACACTCGCGCGGTTACCCACTTGCCATATCGCTCAAGCTAAAAGATGCAACTCAGAGGAGCACTAATTTTTCGATGGAACTACGGTAATCAGTTTGGTTCGCGCGCAGGAGAATTCTGCAGTTGCCTTCTGCTGTTGTCAAGCACTGGTTTTATGACAGTGCTAATAATCAGATGAACTGGTACAAGAGTATCCAAATTCGGGGTGTACATGTAGGCAGCGACACCACAGGAAATTGAAAATTGTTATCGCTCTTTTGAAAATGGGCACTGCAAAAGGAATTTGGGTCTTTCTTACCACCTGTTGCCGATGAACTACGGACCAGACACTTCGTCCACCTTGGACCGACTATATCGTCCGTATGCCACCACTAGGGTTACCGAAACCAAACAGCCAGTTTTCAAAGTCTCTTTTTGGTGCCCCCTCCTCTTCCTCTTCTGCCGGCCACCGCCTCATTCAGCAAAGCCACTTGCTGTGCGCTTCCCCCGAAAAATTCGACCAGGGTACATTTGCCCTGTTGGCAAAGGCCGGTCTTATTTCGACAGTTCCTAGGGGCATATCGGAGACTTTACACTTATTCCTCGCAACTTACGTCGTGAGACGTACGATCACCTCACTTATGCTGGGACGCAACGTTTGTCTAGCAGCATTAATCGCCGGTGCGTGCGAATTTCGGTGGTAGCAATGAGAAGTGAAGTTGATGCTAACAGTTCTCGTTCTTGAAACAGTCGCGGTGCAGGTAACGGCGGTGAACGCTGCAACGGCTGCGTCTTCGATCTGCAGCAAAGTCGAGGAATGCTACGTGAACGGGTCGTCGTCTAAGGTTTGCGACCGTACGGAGAAGAAATGCAACCGATGCCTGGGTGAGAGGGAGGCCGACTCGATGTGGGAAAATATCGGAGCCTGGACCGAGTACAACTGCTACGCTTACGACGACGATGGGGAATGTCCTAAAGGCACGACTCAGTGTCCTGCAAGTACGTGCACGTGTATAGAGAATCTCCTCTAGAGTAGGTGAATCTAACTGGTTCTCCCATGATACAGCGCTGACGACGTCGGACGACGATGAAGAGAGCAGTGCAGGGTCGGAGGAAGCAGGAACGTCGGAGGAGAGCTCGAAATCGACCTCAACCTCTAGCTCTACCAAGAAAAAGAAGTCCTCGTCTTCTTCATCCGACGATTCGTCCAAATCGAGCAGCACTTCTACTAAGAAGAAAAAGAAGACCTCGTCGTCTTCAAGTGACTCGGGCAGCGACGACAGCTCGTCCAAGACAAAGAAACCCACGACCAAGAAGACCACAAAGCCGGCTACCAAGTCTTCGTCGAGCAGCGATAGTTCGTCTGGAGATTCCTCCAGCGACTCAACCAGCGACTCCTCTAGCTCATCTGGATCCGATTCCTCCTCTGCTTCTGCATCAAACTCGACGTTGCAAACCTCACTTGAGAGTTCTGCGTCGAAGGACGAGCACCCGAAGACGAGCAGTGTGAGCGCCACTGTTGCTCCCATCACCAAGTCGTCGACAACCACGCAGTCCACGACGGCGGAATCGACCTCCGACAACTCGAAGTCGTCCAACACGCAAAGCGCCAGCTCTGGGTCTAGCGGGAGCAAATGGGGCTTGATTGCCGGCATTGTAGGCGGCACGTGTGTGCTGGTAGCCGTGGCAGGTTTCGTCGTCTGGAAGAAGAAGCAGGACGACGAGGACTCGGACGACGAGGACGCAGCATTCTCGCCCAACAAACCGGCCGCCAACCGTAACATGTCTGCACTGCCGTCCGCATCCTCAGCGACCACAGCGTACACAGCTCAGTCTAACAACTACAACAACAACTACGGCAACAAGTACGAAAGTCATTACGACACCAACTACAGCAGCAACTACAGCAGCAACTACGGCGAGAGTGGATACAGCAACAACTACACGGCGACGCAGTACGCTGCCGGTGCCGGCACGGTGCCTGTCAGCTACGGCAGTCCGGCCTCGATCGATATCGATGACGACAGCCACATTCGTCGCACGGACAGCATTCTGGGCGGCACGGGCGTCATGTCCAGCACCACATCGAGCGAGCAGACCCCGTTCGAGTTCAGCGGCGGCCCCAGTCCGGCCAACCAGGACGTGTGGGGCAACGAGGCCAACAGCTTCCGCGACAAGCGCACGGCCAGCAACGTGTCCGTGGAGTTCTAGGTTATGGTATTGCTAACTCCGCTAAGACAGTGCGTGTTTTGTCTATGACGTACTAGACCTCCTAATGAATGTCATGATCCGTGTCAATTGAGCTCTAGGAGTCCTGCAGCTTAACGCCTTGTGTGTCTATCTACCTCTACCATTGCGCTCAGTTTTCAAGCGTGTACAGCGTGAACGCAAGCTGTGAGCCAAAGCCTGCAGCGAAGTGTAGAGCGTATTTGTGGGCGTACGCTTCTCCCGTGGCGAGACGAAGAGGAGTCTCGCCCAGGTTCGAGTCGTGGGTCTCAAAGTGCACCACAGGTGGTACGCGACCACTTCGGAGACCTTCGATCGCTGCCACGTCCTCGAATGATACAGCCATGGGGTGACCCGTAAAGCCCTTCGTGTTCGCGATCGTCAGCTTAGACAACAGCTCAGAACCGAAGGCTGTGCGTAGTGCAGTCACTTCAGTGTAAGCACACGAAGACTTGGGCGAGGCATTGGTGCCGGTTTCGTGGCTGTAGTAGACTCCGTTGCGTGCGATTTCCTCGCGAGTGATACCGAAGTCCGACTCTACACGTTGCAGGAAGCGTACGAGCTCTTGACCGACGTGGTTCGGCTCCAACGCAGCGCCATGATAAGCAGAGTTGCTGAATTGAGTGGCAAGTAGACGCACAGTCTTTCCGGTAGCTGGTTCTGCCACTTGACGCTCTGCAAAGGCCAGTGGAGACTCCAACACGACGCCGATCGCTCCACTACCGACAATCATTCCACTGCGCTTCACATCGAACGGACGAGCCGCTGTCTCCGCCGTCGGAGCGATACACGCAGCACCAAGTGCACGGAATCCACCACCGATCAGCGGCATCATGGTCTCCGAGCTAGCGGTATCACTTGACACCACAATAACACGCTGGCATTTACCAGAGTTAATCCAGTCCTGAGCCATTCCAATGGCCTGTGTGGCACCAGCGCATGCTGCGTTAATCTGGGTATTGAGACCACGAGCTCCGGTAAGCTGAGCGACTTGAGCGTTGGCTAACACAAGCAGTCGGAAGAGAATCTTGCGATCCATCTCATAGGCAGACTCGCCCTCCTTCTCTTCGTAGTAACGCGAGGTCTCTGACACCGCAGCGTTCATAGTAGGGAAGGACGTAGCGTAAATGACACCGGTCGAGTCACGCATACTCTCGGGTAAACGCCAATTACCGTTGACCCCGTCAACAAGCCCAGCGTTACGAACAGCCTCAAGACCGGCAGCCACAGCCAACTGCGTGGGCTTGTCCATCGAGTTGGCAATAGTAGCGGCAATACCGTAGTCCTTCTCCAAATCGACATCATTCACAACAGCAGACACTTGGATACACTTGTCGTGAGTGGAGACCGGAGAGCGCGTCACTTCTCCCGTGGCCTTATCCTTGTGAACTTGGGTGATATTCTGAGCTACCATCCGGTCTTTGTCTTTATCGGAGAGTTCACAGATGCAGTTTTCACCTTGCAGAAGCTTCTCAATAGATTTTTCGCCTTCGAACACCTTGGCTTGACCAGGAAGACCCACACTTGTACCAGCCACATACACAGCACCAGCGAGTTCTTGTGTCGACTTGACTAAGCGCTGCTGCTCCTGGTTGTCGCCTTCAGAGGTGACTTGAGGCTTGGAACGAGCGTAGAAACGACGACCCATTTCATCAATCCGGTCGAGGTAGAACTCTCCTTCAGGGATCGAAGCAATCGACTGTGTGAGCTTCACGCCGTTCTTAGCACCATAGGTTTTCTCACGCAGCTTCATACGAGCCGTATACTCCTCCGGGGTCTTCTTGTTACGACGTTCAAGACGAGCTGTGAGATCCAGCGACTTAGCGATATTTTCCAACGAAAACTTGCGCTCAGCAGGCTCACGTGTGCGCAGTACGAACATGGTAGCAAGACTGCCAGAGCCGTAAGAGAACATGAGCACTCGAGAGCCAAGTGCCAGATCTTTGGCACGCGCGTGCACCAACGTAGCCAAGTTCATGTACACTGCAGCAGTGTAGCAGTTACCCAATTGCTGCGAAGTGGTGCAACTTGGTGAAACTTTCGTGTTAAAGTCCTCCTTGGCCACACCACGAACTGCCAGGTCCAGTTCGCGGTCATTAAGAGTCTCTTCTAGTGGCGTGTCAACCCATTTAGCCAATTGAGCGAACTTCTCTTTAGCAGCCTCATCTCCAGTCTTTAACGAGCGTCTTGAGTCCAGGAAAAGCAGACGAGCGAATGATTTCTGCACTAGTTTGTTGTATGGCGAGTGGAACACTGCATAGTCCACTGAAGCCACACCAGGTGCCTTCCCGTTTGCTGTGCCCTCGCTCTTCTTGCAAAATAGTTGATAACATTCATCCAGTGCGTGCAGATAGCATGAATTGGACAGTTTACCGTCCACTGTTGGGTACTCACTGCTCACATTGGGCTTGTAGAAGTCCCAGACGTTCGTCGCGTGGGTGGATTTGGTCCTGCAGTCCAATACCATGGGAGCATCAGGTCCGATGAGCATGGCTACAGCTCCACATCCACCACTGGGACGTGCAGGGCCCTTAGCGTACACCGCGATGTCAGTAGCCACTACAATAGCGTATCTTCCGTCCCAGAACGAGCTGTCGACCCACGCCACCGCGTTCAGTAGCGCTGCTGTGCCGCCGTAGCATGCGTTGATGACTGTAGCTCCATCTACATCAGTGTTGTCCCCAAATAACTGCATAAGAACAGTCTTGGTGGACTTGCTCTTGTCCACCAATGTCTCCGTGCCCACCTCCAGTCGTCCAACTTGCTCAGGAGATACTTGGAACTTGCTCATGAGTCTCGACACGGCGGTTAGCGCCAATGCGTTGACGTCCTCGCGGTCTCCAGGCACAGCCATGCCCAGCTGACCCAGTCCAAGCGTGTATTTGCCGCTGCCGACGCCGTCGAAGGTCTCCATCTCGCGCTGGTCGACAAAGTCCGAGGGAAAATGCACCTCCATGGCCAAGATGCCCACGTCGCTGGGGCGTGCGGAGCTCACCATTGTCTACTGCTGCTGCTGTGTATGGCTGGGAGATATCTGGAAGTGCGCGCAACACTGCGAATGAGCCGGAGGTGAGGCCGCGTGTTGCCGGGTCACGTCTGAGGTCACGAAAGACCTCGGATCTGCTCGTCGCCTTGTGCTGTTGTTGCGGTGTACGTCACTCGAAATTTTGGCTCGTTTTTGTTGCAAGACCTCAATTGTGCAACAACTTTGTTGCTTGTTGCCGACAAAATGAAAGATCTTCTTGGGTGGAAACTTTGCCATCAACATGAAAAAATCTTGCCTCACATGGCGCACTCCTGTATTACAATGCACACACCGACCATTTCGCATTCCATTCGTGCTGCGGCTGGTGTTTTAAACAACAATCTTAAATTTTCGTACCCGTGCGCTGGAGTCGCTGAAAAATCTATACAGACACGGGTGCGTCCTCTTCCTTAGGCGAAGAGTGTGGAACCGCAAGCGCCGGTGGCTTAAGCTGTCGCGTAGTGTCCAGCAGATGCAGATAGTTGGACTGCAACGGCGTCGACTTGCTGAGCACCAGCTCCATCTGCGCTAGCTGCTCCCTCGCCTGCCTTAGCTCCTCCGTCAAAGCGTCAAAGCGCTTCTGATCAAACTTCGACTTGGCCATCTGCTTTCGAAGGCGTCGAGTGTAGACGTAGTGGTAGATGTTCTCGTACTCGTATTCCTGGTTCGTAAGACTCCACCAGGCGTACCCAATAATGGACACGCCGAAGCCCGTGAAGTACGTCACCGGTTCCATGATATCCCACGAAAAGTGGATAAACGACAGCCAGAAGTACAGACCGAAGGCTCCAACAAGCGACGTGGACAGTCCGTAGGCAATGACATTGGCCTGCCGCGTCGCAGTTGCCTCCAGTTCACGGCGTAAGTTCACTAGCGCCACATGCTCCGGCTCCAGTGCCTGTATTTTGGCTAGTAGTGTCTCTCGCTGCTGCTGGAAGAGCTGCGACGACAATGGCGACAGGCCAATCGACTCCAAGTGCGAGTCTAGGATACTGCGAGGCTGTAGGAACACCGAGTGCGTCAAGTCTTCGTCGTCCGACTTGCCAAAGTAAAAGACCACACCGGTCTGATGGAAAGCCTGCAACACCTCGGGTGCTTGCTTCTTAGGGATACCTCTCTCTTGACACATGTGCATGAACTCCGGCTGGCTGATTTTCCACTTGCCAAGTCGCTCCAGGTCGCTGCGTAGCATGATGATGGCTGCCTTCTGCGCCACAGAGCGCACGTCCAGGTCGCCGTCATCGGCCAGACTCTGGTACGCGCTGCCCGTGAATACGGGGGCTCTCACTGGGAGCACTTGGTCGTTCAGAAGGAGCTCAAAGTCGTCTGTAAGCACCTTTTGGAGCGTATCTTCAGGCTGGAACTCTTCTCCTCGAGCGGAACGAATGGATACACTCTGCACGGACTTGTCCTCAGCTTCAATTTGAGCGATGATGTCCGCCACCGTGGTCTCTGTGGATCAAATGTTAGTAAATCTGAGTAGATATGATATTTATGACCGACAATACCTGGAGGGATGCTGAAGACGCGCTCTTCGTCGAATCCGTTGAGAGGTAGCGGCACTGCTAATGTGCATGTCCCGTCGTGGTATTTGAGCTCGATGGCGCGCGCCTTCCCGTACTGGAGCGGGGCTGTGCTGGCGATGGACCGCGAGAGTGTCAGCGATGTCGGGGAGAGCTGTCCACGCGAGAGCAGGCGGGCTGATGCCACGCTGGAAAGGAGACCACGACGCCACATGCCTGCAAAAGGAGGAAGGATACTGCACACTATGGGAAAGCGCTGTTCAACGCTATACTACGATTCACTATGGACAATCAGGATCGACTAATCGTTGGGTTGTTACTTGTCTAACGTAAAATATCGATTAGAGTTCCCCTAGCGAATAGAGTACCCTTTGAATAGAGTGCGGTCTAAGAGGGCACTCTAAAAGAATAGAGTGCGATCAATTAGAGCGCGGTCACTAAGCATCCTTTCAAGATCTGAACAAATGCAACCGAAACCACAGCTCTAGACACTACTCGTTGCGCCACCGCCATTCGTTCGGCTCCGTCTCCACCTGAACCACTCATGCATTGAGCTTTAAAGCCTTTTGTTTTCTCAGTCTCCTTTTTGGCACGCCTGCACAGCGCAAACCCGTCGAGATCAGCCTCAAGCAGCAGGCGATCGACTGGATCGAGTCTGAAGGAGGTGGAATTCCTTCTCGGGCGGAGCCGCACTTTCGTCAGCTCGGGTGGCGAGTGTCGGCGGCTATCTACCGCACGTGGAGGCGCGATCGCGACCAAATTCGTGCGGAATCTGTTGCTCGCTTTTGGCTCATTGGTGGCGGCTGAAAGCCCCTCTTAATAAACCCAAGTGTCTTAACCGCTTGAGTTGTCAGTGCTGTTGACATTGTCTGAATAGAGTGCGCATAAAGTAGAGTGCGTATTTTTAATTTTACCACACTATAAAAATAGAGTGCCGTACTCAAATTTATACTATACGTTAGTTAAAAATAGTATTATCAAGATATTACTTTTAATTTAACTACTACTATTAAAATCATACTTCAATAATATCGTGTTGTATGTTATCAGTTTAAATATTAATACTACTCACTCAAGGCGTACTACAATACTTTGAAGTACTACTATTTCAGGATTCTCTGTGGGCAAAGGTTGCCCTCATTCTGCAATCGTACAGCGGTTGGCTCTAATTGTTCAGAGAGGATTGCCATTCTTCGAGACGCAAGGAGAAGATCGTCAGCACCACCGAAGTGAGTCTTGTTGCTCAGTGCCCGTGTGATCGGCCATGTTCTTCGCAGAATGAGTCGAAAATGATGTGGTGAAGTGGTTCTGCGAAAACTGCTGATCACTGAAGTCGTCGAGTTTATCCTGCAGGCGGTATGGTGATACAACAGGCCGTCTTCAAGGAGTACGAAGTTGTCTGCGACCTGTTCACCGTTTTGGGCTCGACGGTACGTGCGTCTCTCAAATATGCCTTCAGATCAGACCACCTCAGCTCTTCGACCTCGGCCTTTGAGATTCGGCATCTGCGCTCGGTTTGTACCTCCGCTGGGCCAATGCCTCCGCGTTCGGACCTATCGACGCAGCGGACTCAGTGGCTTGCTGTTCAGTTCGACTTGTCGAGTTGTTTGACCCATTAATCTTCACAAACACATTGCTGTTACTCTCGAAGTCAATATCATCCTGATGAAGACGATTAACAGGATTTTGGAGGTGCAATACTCTCCGGACAAACCAGCGATCGAGGGAGGAGAGAGCTACACATAGCTACCCAGCGTCACAGTAGTGGCACGAAGTCGATCCCGCCGCGTTCATTTCGAGGATACATCCCGCCCGCTGGAGAAAACTCAAGACGTCCGAATAAAGGAATTCCAAGGATAGACTGCCTGGTTCATCATATGACAGCTTGCCTTTACGTGTTGTGCATCATATTTCAGGTCCATCGGCTCCACTTCGGGGAAATGAGAGTTCATGAGCATAGTCCGCTAGGTCGAAGTCTGTACCCGTTTGCCCGAATTCATCTGACTCACTGGGCTCGACAGCATCACCCCCGCCCTCTTTTAACTGACACAACGGCTAAGTATTGCAATCTCATCCTCGGGTCGTTGATCGAAGAAGCTTCTTCGTCGCTGATATCGACCTCGGTTGGCAGAATTTTGTCCGATATCGCTTAGTTCATATCTCCGTCTATGAGTGTGTGTAGGTCACAAAGTGACCCTATATATTGTTAATTCCTTGACACACAAAA